CATGGAGAAAATTAATACATCTGTGACACAGATTCGAAGCCAAATGAAGAAAAATCTTTTAATATTTAAAAATTTTATTAATAAACTTAAATATTCAAAGTGGATGTTTAATCAAGGTAATAAATCATTTCAGCACGCATAGAGAGACAAAGAGAGAGCTCTGACGTTTCATCATCTTAGCACACAGAAGACAAAATGGCCGCGTCGTCATCAATAACTTATTAGCAATATATAAATTCAAGCAAGCAAGATTAAAGCAGATTACTGCGCCGTAAACCTTTAATAGGTCCGTTTTCACTCCGCCAAACTAGATTTCCAAACATTAATCGCTCGACGGTGGCGACAAGCCCTCAGCCCACCCCTTGCGGGACACGGTGACAAGTCACGTACATTCGACCGCCGTCCCAGCTACGCGTTAATAGAAACCCTTTCGCGGCCGTAAAATCGCGATCGTGCATTGATTCCCCACCGCACTAAATGCGAATTAATCTTAATTTACGAGCCGAATATTGCTTCGATTTAAATTTATATCGTATGTACACACATACAGCACACTAACGTATTTATATTAAAAAGAATTCTTTTGGTTTTAGCTTGGATTGCGGGCGTAATGCGCGGAAGAAGCAAGTCCATTGTGTTCATTCATGCAAATGACGCGGTTTCTTATCTTAATGTACATTCCGATATTCTGAAATTCCAATAAAGAGTATAACAGGATTTAAAATACTTGAAAGCGTTTTATTTTAACAAAAATTATTTTTTAGGTTTTTTTAAATCAGCTAAATAAAAAATGTGAAATTTAAGCAGAAAAACTTCAAAAATCCCTGCGGCCGTTATTTGTACGTGTATCAAATTACTTCCCAGCACACATATGAAGAGTCGACTCGCCCGAGCATTGATACAGATTCATATAATATGCATAGCAAGCGCGGAGCGTAAACAGTGCGATACATAAAGCTCGGAGGCCAGATTTATCGCGCTGGCTTTAAGTCGCGATTGCAGCGCGACGCGTATAAATAATGCATCAACGTTATAACGTTAAAACCGCCGGAAATCTCGCTCAATGATGGTCGCGACGCGAAACTAGTATCTCGCATCGACTTGGACGGGTTTGTGCGTTGTTTGTCGGAATGACAGTTGCGAGCTTTTCGCGTGATCTTCAGCTTGAACGAATGGAACATCTTGACGTTTTTGAGATTTTGAGCTTTGGCTACAATTTACTATATACTTGGACTTATGGAAATGTACATTGAAGTAAAATGGACAATAAAAAAAATAAATTTTTAAAATTATGGGTAATAAATGGATAAAGTGAATATTTACTGATATTAAAATTGAAAAAAAATATTGAAAAATATCTGCATGTCAAATCTTCTTAGAAGTTTCCAAACTCACGATTTTTATTGCCTGCGGCTTCCATCCGCTGCCGTGTGATGCCACATTCCCCCCTAAGGGATAACAATATATTGTTGTAAAAATTCCCCAGTTCGACATTTCCGCCCTACGCTGCCGCCGAATGAATTCCTTTGTGATAAATTTTTGATATACGTACTGTGCACGCCTGTTGTGCCAACATCTTTCGCTCTGGCTGTCAACAACGCACCAACGCATAACGCACTCGGTGCCCGGCGCCTCCACATTCAACTAGCGCAAAAAAACACATACAAACACACGCACATGGGTTTTATTTGCCATGTTGACTAGACCGCACACCAAAAAAAAAAAAACATCCCAATGGACAGACACACACCGAATGCTACCATAAAGCCCGGCACGTGTTGACGGTGCGCGGTGTTGGATTTGCGGATCATTGCGAGCGCGCAAAAAATCATATTTTACTTTTTTTACAACCGAGTTCATTACCAAAATGATGCGAGTAGGGGAATCAAAGTGACATTAGCAATGAGTGTAACTGTAATAATGTTTGTGATGGACATTCAAAAACACGCAAAATTGCAGCGAAAAATTGTGTCATTTTATTTAATTTTGTTGTTTAAAACCTTCCGGTTAAACCGACAGTCAATGTTTGCTGTTTTCGCGATTGTGTCAACAGAATGTACGCACTACAATATTTACGGTGCACTTATATTTTCACATTGTTTGTCTGCTTCACGGCGGTTAAATAATTTCACTTTGTCATCACGCAAAGAGTGGAATCATTGCTGGTTTGTTTATTTTCTGCGATACACTTTTTAGTTTAAACAAACTTCTTGAGAAAATTAGGTATTTGAAGAGTTTTAGTAATCTTTAGTGTTGGCTATTTTTAGATTTTATAAATATTTGCAAAACTTTTCGCGAAAAATTTTTTTTTTGTCAAAAATATTTAATTTTTTCACGTCCGATTTGGACCAAATAATTACACAAAAAGTAAAATAAATATAAAATATTGTCAAAATTATCATATTACGTTTTAAGTCACGTTATTTAATAGTTTATTACATATTTCTTCAATTTCTCAAAAATTGTGTGCTAAAATTATTTTTTTCTTTCTTCGCCATGTTTCATGTTTATCAAAGAATGAATTAATTCCATTTGCATGTCTAAATCACTTTCATGCAAATAATTGTTTATTTTTCTTACAAAACCAGCAAAAATCAACATTTTCGTACATTTAAACCAAAAATATTCTTTATATAAATAATGAACTAGTCTTCTAAAACCTAAAATTGAAAATTTAACGTTTGGTTTGACTTATGATATAAATTTGCCATGACAAGCTTTTGAAGAGACATTTACTGCACGTTCGAAACATTTTGAATATTTAATACGCCTTGCGGTGACTGCGCTCGCCATCAAACAGCAGCCAAGTTAAAAATGTTCAATGTTGGTTTGTCTAGAAACTTCAGATTGCTGAGTTAAACTAAAAGTTCACCGCGAATGCGTGTATATACTCCTACCATGGAGAAGAAACAAAAAGAAGAAAATACACGAAAGAAAAGGTTCGATCCTGGTTTTAAAGCTTGTGTCGTAAATTGAAAAGTACCACAAAGTTTAAGTTTATACCGCGCGCTCTAAGTTTATCGCCGCCTAATGTATAATTCAATTTATTTAAGTGTTGAAATGGACTTCACTTGCAAACACATCACGACGACGACGACTATAATCAAATTAACTGTTTAGATTGCAAGTTTTTTTTCGGAAATTCAAATATTCGAACAATTTCCTCGTTTTACTTTCCACTTTGCCGAGGAAATTATGAATTGTGTCGGTGGGAAAGTGAGAAAGTGCGAAAGTAATGAATATATTTCCCGGCGGGTAAACAAAAGTCGACGACGCGCGTTCGTTTACTCATAAAAGTTCATTTGCATTCCTTAGTCGACGCCACATCGCACAGACGCCCATATAAGGCGCATAAAAAACTTTCCTCGTTTTCATTCAATTATCATAATAAGTTTGCAACAACGGCAAGTACCGAAATATAAAGTGTCTAAAGTGGAACTTAGACGACCACACGTATTCAATACGCATTAAAATATTATTTGAATTTCGTAAGTGGAAAATAATGATTTAAACCGCGTCTTGAATTCAATTCACTGATATTCTACGAAAGTTTATTCGAGTTTGTTTTGTTTTGCGGCGGGTTTAATTTCGTTTTTGTTGATTTTCCTCATCTTTCATGCTCATGTATGCATCGCGTGAATTTCGTAGAAAACTGTTTAAATGCAAATTTAGTTTCCAACAATGAATGAGCGCAAAAACTAATTTTACAAAGTCGAATGTTGTGACATATTCACGGCTTTGAGAGTGCAAACTGCTTCGATTTCAATTAAAATTCTAAATCCCCCATTGTCCGGAATTAATTTCTGCGTGCACTTGAATTTTAATTCACAAAAAATGAAAAAAAAAAACGCTTGAATTAAAAAAATGTCTTTATGAAAAACTCACCGGACGTTGATTTAATTTTTTGCGTTTCAATGAACATTTATTTTTAAATATTTAACTTTGAGTCCTTAATTAAATATTCCCGTGTTAGTCCAATGCAAATTTTCATTTAGCTAGTTGAGCACGTGTCGTACCTACCTATAAAATATGCAATAGTCCAGATGAAGCTGAGTCTCTTTTTTTTTTTGGTTTTGTTTGTCAATTAAGCTTCGTGCAAAATTTTCAACGCTGAAATTTCGCGCTTCATTAACTTCCAAGCGAACAAAGATTTCTTAATTCATACATTTAGACATTTTCAATTCTGTTAGATCTTCTTTTGTTCATTTTTTTCGACTTCTTTTATCATAAAATCAAATTTTGTTCAACACAAATATTAATAACCAGTCTTTCTAAACACACAATACGTAATTTGCTCATCCAGACTTTCATCCCTTATTTGAAGCCTATTTCTATTCAGTGCAATAAATTTCTTGTGAAAGCACCACCCGTTGGGATTTGTTTGAAATGCGTCTGCAAACCGAAACAAAAAAACAAGCAGAAAACATAGTACAAAGTAGAAATTTAGTGAGAACGCAGTTCTCACATTGCACAAATGAACATCCACAAGCATTACGCCATCACTAACTCTGTATTTTGTTGGTTTTTATTTGCACGCGGTTAGCACGTGTCGCAGAAAGTTCGCTGTATCGCCTCTCGGGTGGTAAGTGAAATTAATGTCTTTTGTCGTGCGCGGAAAATGCGCGCGTCGATGAAACGGAATCGAAGGAAAGTGGTGGGCAATCGAGTTAAAGTCTAGGTTGTTAGCGGCGAAAATAGTTGTGTAATCTAGTTTTGCGAACGAAGACGTTCCACTTTGCGCACGCCCACGCCACACGACGCAGAGAGCAACTTCAACTTCAGGGGCCACAGCTCCACCAAATTCAATTATGGCGATAATTTGCGCTTGAGCTTTTTTATTCGAGTTTTCTTTTTGCAACTTGTGCGAAATCGAATTTGTTTTGTTTTTTTCATTCGATTTCTCACGATTCGATTCTTGATATGAGCACAAAACAAACAAACAAATATTATATAGGTTATGTAACTTTTTTTGACGTATCTGACATTAACCTAAAACTTACCCTGTAAATTTTCTTGATTACTATTGATTAGCGACGGTGCGCCGTACACAATGAGTACGGGCAGACTGTGGATCAGCAGCAAGCCACTGATCACGTATTGTATCCAGCAATCAGTCCACATAGTGTCCGCGGTTGTAAACGTTCCAAAGTGCAGGCGCTCGCTCCTTCGTGGTGCGCATGCGCGCACAACCGCCGATTACGTAGTTGCTGACTTCTCACAACGACGGTCGGCACTACAAAATGCGGGTAATCACATTACACGCTCCTCACACTGCCCCAGAGTATTTCCATCCTCACCCACACGGCGCGCACTTTACACCACGCCACGCACAAACAACCGCACACCGAAAACTGTTATTATCAATAAGCGCACTTATGCACACTGTACTGTGGGTGGTCTACTTCAACTTTGGTTCGGTCACACTTCGCAAACACATTGCATGTGATCACTGGACGACCGGGGACAGCATACAACCTAAAAACTCAGATTCATCAATCACGGCATTCAAAACTGCGCAAATGCGCAAGCAGCATGTACATAATAGGATAATACAATTAAATGCGTTGTTGGTGATGTAAGAACGACGTCGGAAGGAAATTATGATTAATTATTTAATGTTTTTTTCTTTTGTCAACAGAAAAAAACATTTCAACAAAATACACAAACATAAATATCATCAACATCATCATCATTCATAAGGTATGTTTATATTTTTTTATTTTTATTTTATTATTTAGCTTGTGTAATTAATTACTTTCAAGATTTATCTACTTTACGCAATTAAGAGTTTTGCAATTAATGATGCTTGCTAAGTCAATATACGCAATAAAGCCAATACTCCCGGCTGGTCAGATGAGTTATTTCTTTTTACAAACTTTTAGCCCAGTGACAACATTGCGGGTAGAAAAATCCATTAAAACTTGATAGCGCCAGCCAGACCCTTCGATGGTTTTACCGAAAAGTTTCGAATTACGATAGACACCTGCCTATCAAAGCTAACGGGATGTGACTCGCAAAAAATCTCAGCGCACAAATAAATCTAAACCTAATTTTATCCTCAAATTAAATTCTCAGTGAAAATACGTCTCATTAAATTATATTATTATAACAAAAATATTTTATAATAATTTTGTGTTTCTTTTTGAAGGAAAAAAGCGGAAATTGGACGAAAACCGAGGGTAAAGTAAAGTAAAATTCCTCCGCGCCGTGTGTGCGGTATTTCACCCCCATTGGAGGGATATTCAATGAAAGTTTCCGCATGTTGCGGCAAGTATGTTGTGTATAGGTATAAATCGCGCTTATTCATTTACATAAACGTGCGTTATTGCGACCCGCCGTTTTTGCTGCCTTTAAATGCATGTTACACGTTTAATATTATAGTTACACGATGTTGAGCTTTCGTGCTTGCAGGTGGTTCTAGTGGTTTGTGTGGTTTGTGTTATTTTTTGCTCGCGGGTATAAATTAATTAAAGGGTGGAGCAAACAATAAACGATAAAAAACTTTTTAGCTTATGCAGCGCGTTTTTATTGAAATGAGTTTGGTATTAAAAACTCTAAGGGTGAAATTTGAATAATTATGATGTTTATTTTTTTTATTATAGCAAAAAATTGTTATTTTTAGGTATTAATTGCTTATTAAAAACTGAAAACGTGAAAAATATTCTTTGATATAATTTTATTTATAAATTTATTATTTTTACAAATTGTAAAATGATTTTTTCGTTTCTATAATTTAGTAAAAATGATGGTTTAATAAAAAAATATTTTTACGGTTTTACAAGCAAAAACGAATTTTTTCGAAAATATATAAAAAAAAAATTTCATTAAAATGTATTTTTTTTTCAAATCGAATGTGATCCTATCTTGTATTTTGCACATAATGATTACACGGTAAGGTTGGCGTGGAAAATTGGCCAAAACACGCATGAACACCTACGCAACGCGACGTGCTGATGAAATTTCCGGCATTTATCAGCATTCGCTAGTGATGCGATGTCGCGAGATGAGTTTACGCAAACCAGGCGCCCGAAAAAGGGGTGGCACTAGGTGACATACAGAAAGGCGTTGGCAAAAAAGCGGTAGTTTAATTTTTCACACGAATCTCCAATGCAGATCGTCGCAAAACATCTTTTTGTATGCGTCAACATCAACAAAAATCCTAATGGAAAACGAAACGAAATAGAAATAAATATCTAGGTGTATATAAGGATGATAAAAGGGGATGAAACGCATAAGTACACAGTATGAGTTTAACACCACCCCGACAATTGTGAATGCGGAAAAGTGTTTTCTTTAGAAAATTGCGAAACGCGATGAAAAACGTTTTTAACCTACGTTATTTTATTTTCTCCTTGCGCCAGTTGATAGAAAAAATCCAAAAACGTCCACACTGCTCACTTAATATAAGAAAATAATGTTTAATAATTTATTGTGACACCTAGTATGTTAAAATTTATTAATGAATGTCACTGATTTTGTGTTTAATTTAAAAATCGTGTTTTTTGCGTTTTTTGATTTATGACCGGTTTATCAATCGTAATTTATTTACGAAAACGACGCGTGCAATACGACGATGCGATGCGACAGCATGCGATACGCGCGCGACGGTACGGCGGCAGCTACTGGTCGGCGGCAGCGGCGCCCGATTCTACCGCCGCCGCTTGAGCGAGCATCGCGACGCCCTAAACATGCGCCAGCGCCAGAACCAACCCGGCCAAGTCAGGCTAAATCCACCGAAAGAAAATTGCGATATTAATATTAATATTTGTTTAAATTTTAATTTTAAATAATTTATTCTCGAGTCCTTTAAAAATTTATAATTAAAAAAATGTGTGTGTGTGTACGGGGTTATGCTTTGAGTGCGAAACAAAGTGTTTCCTATGTTGCCAGCTTATCTTATCGGTGATGATGGCGCGCATTTCCGGTTTGCAGGTTTTTTCGCGCCCTCTTTCAGAAGGCACGGACGAGGTCAATGGCGAAAAAAACGAATGTTCAATGTGCTCTACTGTGGCGTAATGCGCCTAATGAAAAACACACAAAAACAAAACAAAAAAAAAAGACCAGAACGGAAGTTGTCCGCGGAGCAGAATAAAAGCCGGAAACGATGAGCATGCACAATCGTCCAGTGTATTTATATACTGTATAAAAGTTTGATTTTATTGACATGCAGATCATTAATTCCATATGAGAATAGTAAATGGGAAAAATCATTAAATTTAATAAATATATTTATGAAGTCAATAAGAATTATCCACAATATTTTTATTGTATTTTATTCACGTGAAATTTATTTTTTCGCTTTTGTATCTGACAAGAAAAATTATATTGTTATAAAATAATAAAACATACAACTGGTTTGTTATAAAACCGCATCAAAAACAATAGACATATCAAAGGGATGTTTTTATTTTCGTTGGATGCTAATGATATTGTCCAACACAAGCAATTTGAAGCAAAAAACATTTTTATACCACAAACCGCAAAATACATTGAGATCTGCTTAACATTTATTTATTAATTTTGATTTTCAATACAAAATAATATTTTTCTATCTCCACGAAAACAAAAACAATAAATTGTACTTTAAACACGGCCGTGAATAAAGTTCTTTAGTCACGGACTTTAGTCACGGGTTGGTGATTGAAGCATATAAAAATTTACAAAACTTTAATTATGAGACACAAAAAATTGTTTTTTAAATATGTAAAGCCAAAACCGTGATTAAAGTATTTTAGTCACGGGCTTTAGTCACGGGTTGGATGTTGGAGCATATAAAACTTTTAAAACTGTATTTATGAGACACAAAATGTTAATTTTTAAACATGTGGGGCCAAAGCCGTGACTAAAGTATTTTACTCACGAGCTTTAGTCACGGGGTGGAGTTTAATGAATATTTTATTGTCTGAGCAATAAATTTCTCTTTCAATGCCGAATAAAACTTAATCTTAATACATTTTCGCCGCGATTAAAACATCAACGCTTACTTTGTGTGCAACGCACAGATTACTATTAATATCTACAGTTTATAGTGTACAGTTTACATCAGACGTAATTTGCCTCGGCAGTTGTGTGCGCGCGTATTCGAGACGGTTTTAAGGCGCAGATATAAAGTGCAACATAGTTAACGTCGACTCGAGTTTTACGAGCGCGAATCGCTCCGAAGTGATATCAGCTCGTGCGCGAGCATCATGCGTACGTTTATTCGTTTTACAACGCGCTTCAGACGCTCTCTTATTGCCGGTTCGCAGCGTTTCCGGTCTGAGCGTTTAATTGCGTCCTACGAGTATCTTTATGCTCTCACACAAGTATGCATGAAACATGTTGTTTTTTCCAAGTTTAATTAGTTTAGATACAAGTAGTTGTTGCCCAACAATAAAAAAAATTAAATTGTATATAATTATTTTCGGATTTACGAACATGATGGAAATAAAATTTAATAATTGACAATGAATTTGATACGTGGAAATAAAATTCCATTTGTTAAAATAACAATATGCTGTTTGTGTGTTTTTTGCATTTTAGGAGGTTTATCATACGAAATTCGTTTTCATCAGCATCGTTTCGCAACCCCAATTTGTTGGGTCCTCGCTCAATACAACCTAATACATCAAATCCATATTATTTACAAGTTCATTAGTATTTCTTTCAACCTGTCAAACAAACGATAAATATTTGCCGGATTTTTTCCTTCTTTTTCCAGCGCTGCAGTGGTAAAAGTGAGAAAAGGAATGAAAGCTTACCAAACGAGAAAAACTCGAAATGAACTTGAAACGCACTCGAAACTCACATTTACAAACTGGTAGAAACATCATCTTCATACAGTATCTCACAAAAATATAAAAACAAAGGAAAAAAAAATTTTATTTGCTTAAATTTAAAAAACCGGGAAAAAATAGCAAAAAAATTTAAAAAAAATTATTTTCGGGAAACATTCAGTGTGTTGACTAGTCGTTTATTATATCTTTGTGAAAAAGCCGCTCCCTAGTGCAGTGGTATGAAGTCCAATTTGGGAAACGACAAACCCAAGACAAATCTCTAGTCATCTAGAAAGTATTTTACTTTCGGGGTTCTTCACATCAGTTTCAGACTAAGACTTAGAAGTACAATTCAAGCAGAAACAAGCACACAAAAAATAAACTTCTTTGTTTAATTTTATCTAAAAAAATGTTCTGCATGTAAAGTCACACTCGGATCTAAAAATAAAATTTGCACGTTTTTTATCCTTTGGCGTGGGTGTTATACGCCTATGGCGCTCATAAAAACGCGAGAGCTCTCGACGTGAAAACATTGAACATTGGAAATGTCTAGATGACATGTCCGACAGGACGCGCGAAAGCGGAATATACGAATATGAATATAGATTGAATCTTGTAGGTGTCGACCCGAAAGCTGGGCGCGTACAAAACGCGCAAAAACGACAGCCCCGCACGTGACACCCTCGAGTGGGAAAATTTACTTTCCATAAATCTGTTGTTTTTTTCCGGTTTGACACTCCCGGCCGGACAAAACCGAATCGCGACCGAACTCAACGAAGCATACTATCGGGATTGTATCAATTTTGACTTGGCTAGTAGATATTGAATTTATCTAGATTTTAAAATAAAGATTTATGTGGTAGATATTCGGTTAACCGGTTTTTTTATTTTTTGAAAATTTTGAAAATTTTATAATTTCAAACGTCATTTACTTTCTGTTGCTTTGTGAAATCTGTTTGTTAAGTATCGCGCACATTTGCAGCTCTTTTAAGGAAAAGAAACACGGCGGTTCGTTGCGCAGCACAAAACGCTCGTCACTCAACGAATTTCCGCGTATTTCGGCCGGTTTCTTTGACGTGTGCATGATCGTGCATTAAGACCCACTTCCATTCGCATTGACGCTCCCGTGTGTAATATGCAAAACGCGCAAATGTAAGCCGAGCTTTGCGGGCGAATGCGCGATGCGTCGCGCACCGGAACGAAAGAAACGCGAATATAATGGCTCGATGAGATTAAATCGAGCGCGACGCGCCACAACCGCACAACCAAATCGGTGATTGCGGTAAATGTAAATACGCTTCGTGTGCGTCTGTCACATTTTCACTTTATTTCGAAAAATAGCATCAATAAATCAAAATCTACTTTTGTAGCAATTGCATAGCAAAATATTTAGTAAATTGTATTATTATTTAAGCTGCTAGTTGTTTAGTTGCTTACTAACGCACCCGACTAGACAATTGATAAATTATTTAACCAAACACGACGTGTAGCGGTGCCGATCGTATTAATGCAAGTATTATTAAGCAGCACGCAGCGCACGCGAGCGTGAGCAACTAGATCAACATCAATTTTCCGAATTTGAATACGAAGACGCCGGTAGACGCGCGCGCCGAGTTCTCATTTGCATTAAAGGGTTCGCGGCGACGCGTTCGCGCCGAGCCATTAATAGATAATTACGTGCCACACCATCCACTAGCCGCGGAGAGTACATTAAATAAATATTTGCACAATACTGCCGTCGAATTGTATACAAATTAAATTGAATTGTCTCCATCTGCTGCTTAATTATTAACACGTTGAGTTGAGGTTTTTTAGGACATAATCACCGGTAAACCTAATATTACAAAACCGGTATTTAAATACTGGTTATTTGGATTTTAAAAAATTAACTATCAAAAACAAGTTTTGTATGTTTTACTAAATTTTTTTATAATTTTGTTAAAAATACCGGTTAACCGGTTAAGCGGTTATTACATAACCAATAGCTCCAACTATTTATTTACCTTATCTAATACTTTTTATCATTTTTTTTCAAAAATACCGGTTAACCGGTTAATTTGTTCAAAAATACCGGTTAACCGGTTATTTTCTAATCTGTAGCTCAAATTATTTATTTTTTTGTTACTAATTTTCTGCCAAATTTAATAAAAAATAACCGGTTAACCGGTTATTATTCCCAAAACCGGATATTTGCTCCAAAGATCAGTAATAAATACGTAGCCTAATATTCCTGAGATGTCCTGAGTGGGTCCAACCTTGAAGACGGTTTACTCATCCCGGTGCTGAAGTGCCTTCCTTCAATTTCGTCAAGGGATGATGATTTTCGGCGGCGCTGCCGACAAAAGTGTAATATCGACACCCTTTGGCGAGGGTTTTTAGTACCGACGCGGCTTTTAGCGCGAAAAGGCAACTAAGTGTGCGGATCGAGAGAAAGCGCGGTCGTTGGGATTTAATTGTAACCAATGCCGGCCAGACGACCGCAACCCTAGAGTAGTAGAGGCGAAGAAGCCGACGAGTCTAAGGACTACAAAGTTGGTCTTTGGGTTAGGCTCGCGGAAAGCGAAAGGAAAACCGCGCAGCGTGTAGAGAATGCGATTGTCTGAACATGAGAGTAAAAGATGAGGATGAGGACGAGGAGGAAGAGGGCAAAAACCAAAATTCAATTATCTCATATTTTTTCGGGCGCACGACAGGCGCAGCCGAATATAAGTTATATTGGAATTTGGAATAATTGCTCGTAGCCATTTCGAAAATTAATCCCGCAAAATGTCAGCGTGGAATTTCATCGTTGCGAGTATTTATTTGTGCTTAGAGCGTGTTTTTTCATGTGCACAAAAGATTTACCAAAA